CAAATAGGCAGACAGATCATACCTACTGTGGTCGACACACTCGCAGATGTTCCAGGTTCTTCGTACAGTACATCAGAGTCCATCACATTCACAGACAAATCGATCTTCACTGGATCTGGTGCGTAGCTGAGGGTGGGAGAACATCGGAGAAACGTTAAACAAGGGGTATAGAATAGGGATATTCATACGTCTTACTCCTAGTATACATAAAACGAATTAAACGGATTAAACGGATTGACTGGACTAGTGGTAGCAAGAAGTGCGTAAGCATGAAGGAAGAACCGAAGTGGTATTAAATGGATGTGCACAAGCATGCGAACCAAACCTAGCACAGTAGTCAATGTTGTGTGCTAGTATGTTATAATACACACACACACACACACAACACACACACATACACGCACACACACATACACACACACACATACACACACACATATACACACACACATGTATATATATATATATAATATACTTATATACATATATATATATGTACGTACGTGATTATGTATGTATGTATATTTATATGTATGTATGTATGTATGTATGTATGTATGTATGTATGTATGTATGTATGTATGTAAGTAAGTAAGTAAGTATACATACATGCATGCATGTATGTATTTATATATGTATGTATGTATGTATGTATGTATGTATGTATTTATTTATGTGTGTATGTATGTATGTATGTATGTATGTATGAATGTATATATGTATATTCGAATACACTCGTTGTGCCTAAACGAGGATGCATAAAGTAAGCTGTTTCGTACAGGAGAATTCATCTTTGCATGTTTCATTCCACAAGCTCTGTACCCTACCTTAGACCCGAAAAATAAGAATTAATCATTACGTGGAATATCATATACTACGTCCGATTCAACTACAAGTATATATGGGGGTGAACAGATGTAGAACTAGAACAAAGGTTTGGGCATGCAAATAGACATATGTATAGTTGTCAACAGATATATAATTAAGACAAAAGTATTGGTATGCAAAAAGACACATGAATAACTTTGAACAGATATATAACTAGGACAAAGTAAGTCTATACAAATAGACATTATATGAGTGTCAACGGAAACATATATATACGATTGGTGCAGACGAAATTGAAAAAATAAACGTATCAAACGTCTGAAAAATAAGAAGGACATATATGCATATCTTATCTATCTACTATACATACATACATATGTATCTATAGATGGATAAGATCTAATATGTGTATGTATAGATATATATATACATTATATCGATCTGTACATACATGTAAGTATAAAAAGATACATACGGAAATAACTCAGATGTGTACGCAAATAAGAACGGTTGAGTGTTGTGTGTTATGTCATACCCAGGTATAGGTGGCTGGGGTGGAGTCAGGATGCTCTGCAGTACTTTGGCCCAATCGTCTGATTGGCGGTGTACCAATTGTAGCTGTTTGGCGTCCACGCACACCACCATTCCTGATAGGAGAGAGGTTTAGAATATTCAGAATCGGGAATTTGGAATATCTAAATTGGGAACTAGGAATTCGGAAGCGACGAAAATGGAGTCTAGAATCGGTGTTTAGATTTGATACAAGTCAAATTGGCGTCGCATCAGGGCTTCTGTTCTAATTGGGTGACATACCACCCCAAACACTCTATCCAATACACCTGAAGCATTCATGAATGGTAGGTATATAAATCTATCACCCTGTATGATCAAGCCCACACAAACATGCATTTGGCTGTACGGATCGAGTTTGGCCTGAAAGACAGATAAAAATACAGACGTAGACTAATTAGACTTGTAGTTATATAATGATCAGCACTTCGGGATACACACGGACAGGCAGATACCTGAAGCAACGCGCACCTATCTCAGAAGCAAGAGACACATACAGTCACAGACGGGTCACGTACAACAGAGGAAACGGCTAAACATGTACATAGTAGCCTGGATATATAGAAATACACATAGATAATAATTTGGACATGGAGAAATAAGCACATGTATATAAATATGGGCATAAAGAAATAAACATACATATAAATATAGGCATATGAAAATAGAACATAGATTAAACATGGGCCTTTAGCAATAAACATGAACAAATAAATATGTACCTGTAGACATAAGCGCATGTAGAACTAAACATACACATATAAAGAGAAGCATATAGCAATACACACATACAAATAAATGTGGACATATGAAATAAAATATTTTTATTACATATGAATATAGGCATACAGAAATGAACGGACATAGAAATTAACACACACATACAAATTCGAGCCAGTACAAACCCAACTATGCCACACATACTCACCATTTGCCGTTGCCGTCGCTTGGGTAGTCGTACTGATGGTCACAGTCAACATGGTCTCTGGTGGTAGCTGGAAACGGAATGAATAACATGGGTCAAGATGTGGTCAAATAGTCTACAAATTAGACTGTTTGTGCTAATGTGTGCATAAATCGAGTCAAGGTATGGTTAAATGGTCTTAAAATTCGACTATTTGTGTTAATGTGTGCATAAATTGGGTCAAGGTATGGTTAAATGGTCTCAAAATTATACTATTTGTGTTAATGTGTGTATAAATCGGGTCAAGGTATGATTAAATAGTCTCAAAATTGGACTATTTGTGTTAACGGGTGTGTAAATTGGGTCAAGGTATGGATAATAAGTTGTAGATTGAACTTTTTGTGTTAATGTGCGTCTAAATTTAATTGGTCTTGAATTGAACTGCTTGTGTAACGTGTGTACAAATCGGGTCAAGGTCTGGTATATTAGTCACAAATTGGACTATTTGTCTTGATGTGTGCATAAATTGGGTTCAAGGTACGGTTAATTAGTCGCAGACTGGACAATAGTAGCCCATCTGTGCTAAGACAGGGCCAGCATATAGATTTGCCGAAATGAATGAGAGAAAGAAACAGGTGAAGATATGAACAATTTCATGAAAGATTGTTGTTTGTTGTACTCAATTGTGTTTGCACATGTACAAGGATTGATAAACGTATTCACAATACTGAGAATGCAGCAGAATGCGGGGAAAAGTATATGTGCACCAACAATCACACACACAACCACACACACAAACGCATACAAACACACAAACGCACACACAAACACACTAACACAACATATACACACGCAAAATCAACAACAACACTCACAACACAGAGTGGAAATTATACTAACTCACACATAAATTGTATAACAAACAAATACGCACGAATGTACTACAATACACACAGACACACAGAAAATGTATGACCACATACACAAATACACAAGAAGTTCATAGTAACACACACACACGAACAATAACACAAACACACACACAAAATATATAACAGCACACACATACAAAATATATAGCAACAAACACACACACACACATACAAAAAAAATAATAGCAACACACACACACATACAAAAAAATATAGCAACACACACACACACACACACACATTGTACAACAACATGACAAACACACAAGAAAATCATACTAACACACGCACACGAAATATGACACAAGCACACACACAATATATAACTAGTTGTTTCTACCTTCGTGTCACCTGACTGCTTGGACAAGTCGTCTAATCTTGGGTGTAGAATCACCGGTAGCCGTTCGGCCATGAATCTATTTTCAGCATCGCTCGATCTATTTTTAGGACCCCTCGGTTTATTCATAGCCTCACGTCCTGCTTCCTCGGCGGTAGAGGTGGGGCGTATCGGCGGGGTCTCGTAGAGACACACACTCGAGCACTTCAGGACGATGATATTATCTATGGGAAAGTAGTAGAGAGTACCGTGTGTGTGTACATGCATGTAGGGATGTGAACGCATGTGTATGTGAGTGCGATTAATTAGAGAGATATATACACACGTGTGTGATTAATTAGAGAGATATATAGACATGTGTGTGGGTGAGGATACGTAGAGATGTACATGCACATGTGCGAGCGAGTGATTGAGTGGAGGTGTATATGCATAGGTATGTGAGTGTATCTATGGATTGCTATATATACACTTTTGCGCACCCTGTATGTGTGTGTAGAACCGTCAAATGACAGTGTGATCTGAGGCTTTGCTTGGGCCGGCAAGTATGTGTCTGGCTACAAGCGATTTTGATAAAATCAATCAAAAACATACATTTTATATACTCGAATCAAATCACTACCTACCACAAGTGCCCAAGGAATTTGCGATGGCCAAAAGCGACACCTGCGTACACTCGAATTCCAATTGCGCAGGCGCAGCTGTGTCCTTAGGGTGTCCAGAACTGCTCTGGGATGGCGCAGAGGTGTCTGAAAGTTCAAGGTTCAGGGCACTCACCACCACATCCAGAAGGGGACCGCTTTGTCCTTTCTGGAATATCATGGAGTTCGGAGGGCGAGAATAAAACCTATGATATAGCGCTACAACGTTTTACGCCAAGTATACACACTGTCATCAACCACACGCCAGCGATCGATTCCCTGTATTTGTCTGAGTCCTTGACCTAATTATGCAGGACTTTTTTAACTCGCTCAGAAGAACAGATAGATAAATCACAAAGATATTGCGGAGCCGTGCACATGTTTCTCTCGCGCCAGATGCACACCACAACACAAGTCAAAACCCGTTCATTCGATCCCGAACTCTTTAAGTTATAT